ATGAGTTAATTTATCATAATATATATGAACATGATAAAAAAAAGTATTAGATTATAGATAATAATGTGAGCTCCGATTTTTTTTTCAATTAATGTGTAGAAAGTGCTCGATTTGGAATTTAGCCAACTTTAATATAAATAGTTATTTAAATTTTAGCTAAAAATTTAGAATACAGACAAATGTTTGCATACTTTAGATTTTATAACCTACTTTAAATAAGAGATTTTATAATTACGAAGTTATTTAATACATATCTATATTATGTATAAAATGTGATAATTTATTAAATTATCTCTACTTATTTTTATTAAATATTTTTTTAGCAAATTAAAATATTGTCTAATTTTTATTTATTTTTATTAAAATAGTTTTTCTTAGTTAAGTCATTCATGTCCCACTTAATTTAAGTAATACGACTGGAAGACTTAAAACAGTTTTTCTATATATGAATATTTTACTGTTTGTAACACATTTCACCTATTAATATATTTTACACAATTAAATTAATTATAGAGGATTTAGTGGTAAATAAATTATAACATAGTAGAAAATGTATAATATTCCTTTTTCTTTTTCTTTTTTTGTCCATCTTTTATTTTTGGAATGTCCCAAAATTATGTCTTATTTTTTTATTTTAAACATAAAAAACTCTTACTTTTTTATTTTAAATTATTTTTTATGATTTTTTTTACTCTTTAACATTAAAAATCATAAAACTTTAATTTTATAAAAAAAAAATTAATTTTAATATTAAATACATTAAAGTCAAAACTTTTTTCTTAAACTCCGTAAAAGTTAATAGAAGACAAACAAATAAAGATGGAAAGAGTAATATAGTTGCAAATTATTGATAATTTTATTGTAAATTAGTAATAATTTAAAACATCAGTAATAATTTTATATTAAATCAATGATAACTGTATATTAAATTATAGATAACTTAACAGTAAATAAATAATAATTCAATAGTAAATAATTGATTAGATAATTGTATGCTAGTGATAACATAATAATAAATACATAATAATATTGTAGTAAATAATAAATAACTTAATAGTAAATTATTTATACATAATTGTAAACACATAATAATATATAGTAAATTAAGGATAACTTAATAAAAATAAATGATAACTTAATAGTAAATTAATAATAATTTAATGATAAATAATATTCAGTTTAATACTTCCTCCATCCCAATAAAATTATCACTTATTTTTTGTTGGTAATTTTTTTTTAACTTTAATCACTTATTATTTTATATTTATTATTAATAAAAATATGAAAAAACATATTTTAAAAATTTTAAATAAAGTGGTTCCTAAATACATGTTTTATAAAATTTCATTTATTGAAATATTTAAAATAAAAGATGTTAAAATTAAAAAGTTTTAACAAAAAAAAGTCAATGTGACAATTTAACTAACACAAATAGATGGAGTAGTAATTAATTTATAAATTTAGTAGTAAATCATAAATAATTTAATAATAAATTAATGATAATTTAGTAGTAAATAATTTAGAACTTAGTAGTAATCAATAATTGAAAATTAAAAGCAAATCAATATAACTTAATAGTAATCATTAATAAATTAATAGTTAATCAGTGATAATTTAGTATAGTAAATTAGTGATAACTTAATAGTATATCAATAATAATTTAATAGTAAATAATTGATAACTTAGTAATAAATCAATAATAATATAATAGTAAATGCAAAATAACTTAATAGTAAATCTATTTTAGTTTAATAGTAATTAAATAATAAACTTAACAGTAAATCATAAATAACTTAACAATAAATCAATGATAATTTAGTAGTTAATCACTAAAACTCAAAAGTAAATCAATGATAACATAGTAACAAATGCATAATAGTATATAGTAAATCATTAATAATTTAATAGTAAATTACTGATAATTTAGTAGTAAATCACTAATAATGTCATATTAAATCATCGATAACTTAGTTGTAAATCAATGATAATTTAGTTATAAATTAATGATAATTTAGTTGTAAATTAGTTAATTATTAACAACTTCATGGTAAATCATCAATAACTTCATAGCAAATTAGTAATAATTTTATAATAAATTATCTATAACTTAATAGTAAATTATCTATAATTTAGTTGTAAGTAAATTATAATTTAGTAATAAATCATCTACAACTTAGTGATAAATTGATGATAATTTAGGAGTAAATTAGTAATAAGATAGTAATATGTAATTGACAACTTATTTATTAATTAGTGATAACATTTTTTTTATACTTGAAGTTAACAGTGATTGAACATTGGTTAGAAAGAGAAAAGCTAGAAGTTTCATCATTAGGAACTAGAATAAACCTACCTTGAACCTATTCATTAAAAAAAATTAGTAAAAAATTCTAAATTTGATTGAAACAATGATGTTATTATATAAAAAGAAAATTATCTCAGATATTGTAATTTATTAATAAATTAATAGTAAATCATAAATAACTTAGTAGTAATTCAATTGATAACATAATGGTAAATAATTGATAACTTAATAGCTAATTATTAAAAAGTTAGTAATAGATCAATAGTAATTAGTAAATGCATAATAATATAGTAGTAAATCATTGAATTTAATAGTAAATCAGTAATAACATACTAATAAATCACTTATAATTTAGTTATATATCAATGATAATTTAATAGTAAATTAGTTAATCATTGATAATTTTATAGTAAACTATTGTTAACTTCAAAGAAAATTAGTTATAACTTTATAATAAATTATCAATAACTTAGTAGTAAATCATTCATAACTTAATAGTAAATCTTTGATAATTTAATAATAAATAACTGATAATAATAAATTAGTGATAACTTAATTGTCAATCGTTGATAAATTCTTTTATACTTGAAGTTTTTAATGACTAAACTCTAGTTACTAGCAAGAGTGAAGTCAAAACTTAGTAATAAATTAGTTATAATAATAAATCAATGTTAATTTAATCATAATTTATTGATAACGTAATGATAAATCAGTTATAATTTAGTTATAAATCAGTGATAATAATAAATTAATAATAACTTATAATAAATTAATTTTAGCATAGTAGTAAAGTATGAATAACTTAATAATAAATTATTCATACTTTAATAGTAAATTAGTGATATAACTTAATAGTAAATCATTGATAATATATAATAGTAAATCATTGCTAATTTAGTAATTTTTTTTGTTTTGGTTGAATATTGATATAGAGCTATATTTGTTTTAAATATGTGTAACATATTTGATTCATTTAAAAAATTATATTTATTGCCATTTAATACTAAGGTATTGAATTACAAATATTTTGTGGATATTGTACACATATATAAATGATTAAAACAATATTAATGTACCAATTATTATAACAACATAATTTTATTAAAAAAATCAATTTTTGAAGTAAAAATTTGGAATGACTTTATCTAAATGTGTGTATCATTGATTGTCTACTTGATAATAAATTCATAGTAACTAGATTAATGCTATATCTTTAGTAAAAATAAATTGTTGTGTTATGTGGTATTCTTATAACAATGATAGCAACTACAAAAAATTATTGCCTTTAAAGATATTTTTAAAATGAAAGAAAGAAATAATGAGTCTAAACTTATTAAAAAACGCCATAGAAAAATCACCTATAAGTTATTTTCTCAAGTACATAATATTTTAAATTAAAATATATGATTAAATAATACTAATAATAGTATGAATTCTATAAATTGTAATTTTATAACAATATCGGTTAAATGATGAATTTTTTGTATAACTTATATTAGATATATAACTAAGTGTTCATCAAATAAAAAAATTACTCCACTTTAATTAAAAAAGAGTTCAAATATTAAAAATATATTCATTATCAATTTTAAAGTGTAAGATTTAAAATATAGTTTACCTTCAAAATATGATAATATCTTCTTATATTTATCTAAAATAAGTCATATCTTATTAATTTTAGAATTCTTTTATTTCATTATTTAACAAAAAATAATAATATTGAACCAAAGTTAATTAAGAAAAGTATTTCAATATTTAAAGAACAACATAAAAATACTATTTGATTATGATAAGATATACCTTTAAGTAAAGTGTGTTATTTAAACTCTTATTATAACATATTTTAATCAGTTATGCATATTTAGTGGCTTTTTAAGAAATCAATATTTGATATTAAAAGTAGTTTTAGTTAATACCCCTTGTAAATACATAAATAGCCATCGTTGATAATTATATCGAGATATTAATATTTCTTGATTGCTTCAAATCTTTTTCTTTAGAATATGTTTATAAATTAATATCTTTTAATTAGTAAAATTCATGTAAGTATGCATTTTTTTACTATAAAATTAAACTACAAATGATTTATATGAAATAAATAAGTACATATCAAAAGCAAATGTAAGTGATCATGAAAAAGAAAACATTATATATTTATTTTATTTCAAGCAACAAAAGCTTTTATAACAATATGGTTTCAAATTAAAATAAAGAATTTAAAATTTCAATGGCAAATAAATAAAAAAACAAGAGTTTAAATGAGTTCAACAATTATCGATTACCTCAAAAATTTATAAAATTGAAAATGAAAATCCATTACCAAAAAAGTTAAAAGAAAAAACTTGAGAAAAAGCATAAAATAGAAAAGAAAGGGAAGTACAAAATCTGATTTAATTATGATAAAAAATAATTCTCTAAAAAATTTTTTAAAAAAAAAGAAGAAATGTATAAAAAATAAATGAAGATGATAACTTAAAACCAAAAGGCTTAAAAGAAAACTTCTAAAAAAAGTCAAAATAGAGAAAGATTAAATATTTATTTTTTATTAAAATTTTAATGTAAAATTTTTGTCATATTTATTTATTTCAAACGTAAATTTATATTTTCAATTTAATTTAGGATAATGATAGTTATTTTAATTTTATTACTATTAAAATATTAAAATTATTTTATTATATTAAAATTATAAGTTGGTTAACAATTACGTGCACATAACATAGCATGTGATAGAAAACTAGTATTCTTTAATATCCTGATAAAATATCAGCATCTTATTTTTTCCTAGGATAAAGGTGGGCCTGCAATGGAGATTTCATTATCACTGTGAACTCCTGTTTCTCCTCCAAGCTCACCTCATCTCCATCAATGGCCTTCCATTCAAAGCTCCAAACCAAATTTGCCACAAAATACTCTAGATGAAGCATGGCCAAGCTGAGTCCAGGACAAATCCTCCTTCCTACACCGAATGGCATCATCTTGATTTCTTTACTTCCTGTTATATCAAACACGTCCCCAGTCTTATTGTCATTGCTTAGGAACCTCTCAGGCTTGAATGCCATTGGATCATCCCATACTTTTGGATCCCACCCCATTCCTGCTACCAGGAAATGAATGGTAGCATTCTTGGGCACCAAAAATCCTCCCAGGACCGTGTCTTCTCTCACAGTATGAGGCAGAAGAAAGTGGGCTGGTGGGTGCCTTCTTAGCCCTTCCAAGATCACTGCCTTCAGATAAGGCATCTTCTGCAAATCCTCTTCTTTGACTTCTTCCTCTCCATCTTCCATAACCCCTTTAATCTCCACGAAAAGCTTCTCTTGAACATGTGGGTATTTCACAATATTTGCCATAATCCACTGCAAAGCGGTGAAGGTTGTATCTGTTCCAGCATCGAGAAACTCAGAGATCAAACCAACAATTTCCTGTTCTGTAAGTTTCCTGTTTTCCTCTGGGTGTTGAAGATCGAGCAAAGTATCAACATACGCCAAAACACACTCGTTATCAGCTTCCTCTTTGTCCTCTTTACTCTTGCTCAGTCTCTCCTCTTTCACTTTCTTCCGAGCTCTTATCAAACGGACCAACACGTTCTGTTGATCCTCAAAGACCTGGAAGAACTCCTTCCAAAGTTTATGAAGCAAAACCCTTGTCAAGTTAGGCCAGAAATTGAGTATATTGAATCTTCCATCCACGCCTAACAGCAAACGCCGCTGAACAGTCTCAATCTCTTTAATTTGTTCTTGATTAAGCTTGTCACCAAAACACATAAGCACTAATAAGCAGAACATAGCATGTTGAAAATGATCCACCACACGAACCGGTTCTCCAGTTTTTGAGTTTGAAATTAAGGATTCTATCAGGATCTGGAGAACCCATTTCCGAGCATGAGTGTAGGATTTTATACGAGATGGATGGAGGATTTCAGCTGTAAGGTTACGCCTCAAAAGTCTCCAAGTAGGACCATAGGTAGAAGAGTTGACGTTATGTTGGTTGCAGCTTATAATCTTGCCTACGGTAGAAGCTTGAGGGCGATCAGCAAATAAAGCACCACTTTCGATTAAGGCCTGGTGGGTGAGGGAACGATCGGAGATGAAAATAGAAGGGCGAGAAAGGAAGTAGAGAGTGACCATTGGACCATGCTTTTTGTGGAGTTTCCTGAGGGCTGGTTCAAGCTCGGAAAAGGTGCTCCTGAGCAATAGGATGTTGGAGATAATGGGAATGTTAACTGGGCCTGGAGGGAGAGTTGGGGAAGGTTCTTTGCAGGCGAATGAGCGGCGGTTGAGGATAGCTCTAAGGAGAAGAGAAATGAATATGGTGATGAGGATGATGAGCCAGGCTTCCATGTTTGCTTTGGCCTTTGGGTTTGAAAGTGGAGGGAAAGTGAGAGAGTTGTGTGGCTGATAAAAAGGGGTATGGGAGGCAGAAAGTCCTTCAGTTTGTTGGCAAAAGCTTGAATAAGTGTAAAGAGGAGGAGAGAGATACGAAACCTGGTTGATCACGATAATTGGTGAAAAATGGCTAACTTTTTGTGGTGTTAGAGCTGCTCCTTAAATGATTCTTTAAATATTTTGTCTGCTTTAACGAAAAAAAAATTAATTGAATCCAAAGACAAAAGCACTCAATGCATTCATTTTGGGTTACTAATGATTGTTTCCCAAAATAATTCACCTCCTAGCATTACTTTTAATGCTTCCAATAAATTCTTTTTTCAATCTATTGTATATCTACTTTTAAAAATTTTCAAAATATTTTGATTTATTGGATAATATGTAACAATAGAATAATGGATAGCATTGATAATATATAAAATTAATATACTAATAATGCTTTAAATATAAACTTGTTTTCTTTTGCAACTAAGTTTTTTTTTTTTATTATTTAAAAATATCAATATGTAAATTGAATGATAAAAGTATATTTTATAAATAAATATGTTTTATCATAATTTATTAGATATTATTTAATTTTTATTTTTAATAATTAAAATTTTTTAAAATCACTTAATAATTAAAATTAAGTACTCCAAACTCACTTTTACATATTATTTTCTTAAAAAATATGTACATACAATTATTTGCAAGAGTATATTGATTAATTAATTTATAATACAAATTAAAATAAATTCATAAGTTAAGATTTTAAATGACAAAATAATCCGAAACATAATATATTTAAAAATTGCATTTAAAATTTGTAAAACTAAATGAAAAAAATAGATTTGACAAAAAATAGCATAAAATCGAATCTTTTTATCCCACACTTTGACAAGTCCATATTTAAATAAAAAAATATAAATATTTTAAACGAGAACTTGACAATTCCATTAGGCTCATACAAAACAATCAGAAGGCAAGGCCCAGCGCAGCATAGGAAATAAATACTGTGATGTATAATACAGAACTTGATAGTGCTTGTTACCCACATATAAATACCATAACTCCAGAAGCAATCCTGAAAACAAAATCGAAATTTGAATTTAAAATGGAAACAAAATCGAAGAATATGAAGGGTTTTTACAGGCAGAAGAAGAACAACACAACTGAAGGCATCACCAAATCAAAATCCTCAAAGTCAACCAAAAGCCCATCTCCCAAACACGCCGCTGCTTTCGGTTCCGATATCACCCACGGCCCCGCCCTGATTTCTCATGGCGGTTCCCTCTATCTCAAAGGTCACTCTCTTTTCCCTTTCCTTTTTTCTTTTTTTTCAAAATGGATGTTTCTAGAAACTGAATGTTATTGTATTTCTTTTGGGAAACAGATGATTTTGATGAGGAAGAGCAAGTGTTCAGGCAATTTGATATGAACATGACATATGGACCATGCCTTGGGATGACGCGGCTGGCTTGTTGGTAAAGAGCTCAAAAGTTGGGTCTAAACCCTCCTCAAGGAATTGAAAATCTTTTGAAAGGTGGGAAAGTGAACTTAGAATGTTTATTTGATGGTCGTGTTTAGTTGATTTAGGTGAAATCAGTGTACAGCTTCTGGCTGTGCTTCTTGTTGGCTGTCTCTAAATGTTGTCATGGACCTGGAAATTCCGTTGGTCTTAATGCAGATGTTTTTGCCTGTTATAGTACGGGTTACTTGGCTGTTCCAAGCTCTGATATTTGGTGAATGGGAATTTGATCTTGGTTGCTTGGCTTTTGAATCTACACATCTTGAATTAGTACTCCACGATTTTGCTGGCTAATCTGGCTGGTATTTTATCGGGTTCTAGAGTACTTGTTCAGCAATACCAAATATTGAAGTTATAAAATTTGAGCTAATGCATTTGCTTTATTTGGTGAAAACTAAACTCTGATATCCAACTTCTTGCATATATGTGAGTGAAATCCCAATTCAAATCCTAATTAAAGGATAAAAAGGAAGTAGAAATGAAGATACAGCACGATAAAACAGGGCTAATAATCCTCCTCCCAGCTATGCATTTCATACCGTTTTTGAAAGCGCCAACATTATTTATTCTGTCCTGGTTTTGGATTTCACATCATCAGGTATCCATGACGACCAGAATAGCGGCAGGAGGGTACAAACTGCCTGAACTAGTAGGCCAAGAGGAAATCCAGAAAAATCGTTTCCTGTGACGCCCACATAGGATGCCAATGCAACACCAAGGTATCCACTTACTATGAATGCAAGAGCTACAGCTGACATGACGAATGCCATTAGAGACCCTTCACATCCAGGAGGACAGAGTTGTGCTATCAGAATGCTAAATGGCAGAATCTTGAAGAAGAATAGAACTTCTAAGACACCAGAGAACACTACAACATAGAGAGAGTCTGGCAACCCAATCTGTCGATAAATCCCTTTCGCAAACAATACATCTGAAATCATGAATACTGCCATTGTTACCTGAATTGCTTCAATCAGTTTCCTTGGTCGGACTGACTTTAAGCTACGATTGTAGATGACACCCCATAACAGCATTACAGCCTGACCAAACACCTTAGAAATTCCCAATACAGAGGCGTCAATCTTCAAATACTGTGTTTGGTAAAAGAACATCGTTCCTGTCAGGACTGGAATTATGGCATATGATGCAGCAAACCAGGCTATTGAGTAAGCTATCTCAGGTTTTTCCAGTGCAGCTAAAAGTTCTGAAAGCTGTTTCCTAATCCCAGCATGTGATGGATTTTTTGGAAGGTTAAGGGAGCGTTCAGGAACTGAGATAGTTAAAAAAAACTGAAGCACAAGCAGAAGTCCAAAGAAAAGGAACATTGATTGGGGCGAAAATCTGTCAATGGCAATGCCACCTAACAGGTTCCCAAGGACTCCACCAACAGAGGAAGCCGTCCAAACAAATGACTGGAGCTCACCTGAGGAAGCTGATTGAGCCTTTTTGGATTTTGCCATCTCAGCAACAATGGCATCATTAGCAACCTCAGCTATTGAAGCGCCAAGGTTACTGAGGAGAAGATATAGGCTCATTGTGAAGATTGAAAGGTTGAACTGTGAAAGGATTGCTATCGCTAGCCATGACACTGCTTGTAAGAAAGCTGCAAAAAAAAGGAAAGACTTAATTATGGACAACAAACTAGAAATCCAATTGAAGAAATAAAATAAAATAATACAGCAATGCTAAGCAAAACATGACATGACTTCTAATTTATAATCCACTTCTACTGGTATTGAACCTTGTTATTAACAAAGAAAATAATGGCTCAAAACAGCTGCAGCCAGAATGATATAATAGAATAAAGAGTAAACTCTGGCACACCATTGCCCCCTCTTAGCAACCTTTGATTAAAGATTATTGTCATCTAGACAGACCAAATAGATATCATCTAATCATAACAGACTGAATAATCAGCAAGCCATATTCAGTCTAAATAAGAGATTATATTTCCACAAAATTAAGGTATTCAGATTAATTAACAAGTTTGACATTCTCTAACTTTGGGTTCCAATGTTTAGCAGCTAATCAAATCTAAGAATTCATATTCGGTTCACTGTAAACAAAGTTTATAAAGATATTTTTCCTTGCCTAGATAAAACCTAGTTAATATATAGCCTGAAATCATTGATCTTATATTCGAATGACTGAGATAAAGCAGAAGACCTCACTGATACTTAATTGAGAGAGAGAGAGAGAGAGAGAGGGGAAAAGTAGTAAAGTACAGAACCTAATTTGCAAATTCTTATTTAATTCCAAGACTATCTGGTTTGAAGCTCAATATTTATCATATTTACATTCTTCAGCTAGTAATTAATGCCGGTCAGCAGTTACTATAGTTTCATCTGAGACTCACAATTACATCTTGCCTATAACATTTTCAATGATGTCTAATTTTAAGGAATGTTATCGCCATACAAACATACGTATTCAATTTCAACTTTCAAATCAGGACCACAAGGTTTGCTTCAGCTAAAATTATTCTATTCTTCATAGCCAATATTGTTGCCGTGGACAATCTTCATTCCAAATGAAATGCTCGAAAATGACGCTAAAAGCAACTAGAAGCACAATAACACACACACAACTACGTTTGTCAGTTGAAACGTCTCTACTTTTTCAAAGCATATTTAATCTCAACAAAAAGGCCAAAAAAAAAAAAAAAAGGGGTGAAGCAAATCCTTTTCATAAAGAAAAAGAATAACTTCCCACATTTCTAAATTTATTCAAAGAAAAAAGAGATAAAGGAGAACCACAGAGTAAAGTTCAGACCTTTCATTTGTTTTTCCTCTGCAATCACATTTTCCAGAACTAGTCTTAATATACTAAAGTCAGACCTTAGAAAATTATGCATAATAAAAAATTAATCACATTTTGCTCCAATGCCAATAATATAAATTAACAACTTAAAATTCCTCCATAAAGCCAGTATGCCTATAATCATAAAAACAAGATTTCCCATTTTCGAGAATCAAACAGTGGCATTATTGTAATAAAACAGAAAACAACAACAATGAGAAAAAGACGAGAAAAGAAATGAAAAACTTTTACCACCGATGGCGATATAAGGAACACGATGCTGGCCAGAAATATAAACGGCATCGGAGACGACACCGTGGAGGGGCTTCCCAACCATAGGGAGATTAGCAGAATTCTGAAGAATTTGAAGAGATGAAGGGTCCACTTTAACACTATCTTTCAGGAAAAAGTTAACAGCCATCCATGGAAAACACCTGAATCCTTGGATCCAATACCCGACTCCGAGAAGACTTCGGATCCAATTGGCCTTCCCTTTTCGGGTCGCCTTCCATTTCCATCTTCCGTAGCGGACACATCATAATAATAATAATAATTTAGAAAAACAGGTTTATTTGTTTGTGAACTTTCTTCTTTCTTTTCTTTTCTTTTCCTTCAGGTTCTGGTTTCGTTTTTGGAAAGGGTTCTTTGGTGGCAGAGACGAAGACAGTGGCAGCGGTAGGGGTGGCGGTAGCTGTGACGATGGTTAAATCGATTTGTTTTTGTTGTACTATGTTGAATGTGCATGGAAGTTGGTGTACTAGAATGTAGTTTACAATAGGCTGTGGTTTTGTCTAGAACAAACCTTAGATAATGATAAACTACAATATCTTTATTTTTCTTCCCTTCCTCTGGATTTGGACTGACCGACTTTTTCTTCTTTGGCTTTTTGTCTTTTATTTTTTAATTTAAATAAATTATTTTTATTATTGCCTTCCTCTCAAATTATTTGAGCAATATTAATTTTTAAGGAGTTTTAAAAAAATTTTAAATTTTAATATATTTAATATTAAAATTAAAATATTTTTTATAAAATTAAAGTTACATAATTTTTAATGTTAAAAAAATAATAAAATATAATTTTAAAATATAAAAAATAAAAGTTTTAAATATTAAAACAATATAATTTTGAGATATCTCAAAAAAAAAGGTCAGAGAGAGTAAATTCATTTTTCAATTTATTTTTGGTCAATTATCGATATATTTTTTTATGGTATCTTAATTTCATTTATGATTTTTTATTTAGTTAAAACTAGAAGTTTGCTTATATAGTAGTGTCACGTATTTGAATTTGATTAAAACAAAATTAAAACTTAACTCTATTGAGTTTTAATTTAAATAACTCAACTTATAAAGTGAGTTAAATTCGTATATTTTATTATCGATTTGAGTAACTTATAAATCTCATTAAATTTTTATATTTTAATATATATTTTTTATTATTTTAATTAAAATTTATTATTTTACCATTATATATATATTTATTCAAGTTTGAGTTCAAATATAAATGATTGAACTTGAAGTTAAATGTAAAAATTAAATTTATTTTTTATTCAATAAATAAGCTTAGTTAAATAAATTCAAGTAATTCGATTTTTAATTAAAATTTAAAAATTAAAACTCAATTTAACTTAAGCCAAATTTTAAACAATGATTTTCGAGTCAAAAAATTCATTAAAATTTGAAAATAAATTCTTAATTTTAGATTGCATAAAATTAGTTCAATGAAATTTAATTTATCATAACATGAACCTTGATATATTAAGGAATATTTTATATTTTGATAAAATTTATTGATTGGTTAATGTAATTTTTAAAATATTAACTAGAATTTATTTAAATATGTTGGGTGACATATATTTGAGAAAATGTTATTTTAATAATTCTAAAATTTGAATTTTATTTACCCATTTTTAGATTTAGTGGATACATATAATTACAATAGAAATAACAATTTATAACTTTAATTATATGCTATAAAAATTCTAGGATTTATTTTATTTTTTAAAAAATTTTGAACTATCCATTTTATTCTTCTTAAAAGGATTAAAAAGAAAATTTATAAAGAAAAAAAAGATAACGATTGAGTCATTACTTAAATATATTGTTTTCATTACCATTCGAAATCGAATATATTGTTTTCGCTACCATTTGATTTCTCTTTATTAAAAAAAATCTACAATGACGACAATTAATTCACTACTTAACCCATATGAGTTAAGTTAGGTTTATGAGAAAATGTTTTTTTTTTAATTTTTATTTTTTAGAAAATAGTTTTTATTTTATATTTTAAAAAAGATTTATTTGGTAAACGAAAAGAATTTTTTTTAAAAAATATAAAAATAATGAAATAAATAAAATATTCAATGATATTATTATTAATGTTATTTAATTATAAATATAATATATATTTATTAATTAATGATATTAAAAAATATTTAAATATGATAACTTATAAAATACAAGGAAAAAAATAATATGCATATTTCTTATTTTCACAATTAAAAATATCTTTTTTTTTTGTTTTCGTATTTCGATTCATTTTTATTTTTAATTTCTAAAATTTTATTTTTATTTTCAAGTACCAAATACCTTTTACTCATATTTTTTAATTTTCAAAAAATAAAAATAAAAAATAATTATATTTTCTAAAATTAAACACTACTTAATCTTTTTATTTTGTCGACCAAAGTTTGATAGTCGTGGGAAGTATAATGGAAATAATAACATTTTAAATGCACCACACATATGTGAGAGATTAGGTCTCTAACATTACTCAAGAAGAAGATTAAGCTCATGCAAAGCTCAGAACTTCTTAATCTTATTAAAAAAATTAATTCACTTACCATTCAATTTTTTAAAGAGCAATATCTTAATAACCTTGGAATCTTACTCAAAAACGAAAATAAGTCTTTAATTTTTTATTAAATGAAATTAAGGTTTCTAATTTTTATTTTATTATAACTAGAATGTCAACATTAGAAAATATTCAATTGTTTTTTATTAAAATTTTCTTAGTTGAATGATATAATTTATAAAAAATGATTGTTTATGTTTATTTGGATGAGTTCATAATAAAATTTGAGAAAATGATATTTTAAAAATTATTGCGGTTAGACTTTGTTCATTCATTATTGAAGATTTAAAGGGCATAATTCGTAATCTTAATTTAATATAACGAAAAGTCAATTTACACCAATAGTTTCTATATTTTATAAAAATTTAAAATTTAATCTTTTTATTATAGTTCATACAAATATAATTCTCATATCATTTTAATTTGATAATTTTAATTCATTTATTAACTCTATCAAATTTTATTATTAAAAATATTAACATGATTGTTGACTTAATTATGTGTGTGTTGATTTTATTGATGTGACGTTAACTTGATGAATGGCAACTTAGATAAATAAAATAAGTTTGCAAATTATGCAACTAGTCTTTGACATAAAATTGGAACTTTAGTTCTTCTATTATAAATTTTAAAAATGTCGTTTTCGTACAAGTTAAATTTGATAATATTGATCTAATTTTTAATATAATCAGTTATTTCTTGTTGACTTACACAATCTTTGATCTTTTAGAAAAACATATGAAATTTTTTAAAAAATTGTAAAAAAAAATTCTAAAATTTTAAAATCCCAAAAAATTTTAAAAAACTCCTTGATTTTTTAGAAAATCATTTTTTAATTTTAAAAAAATTAATTTTTTGAATTTTTTATATTTTTATAATATTAAATTTAATTTCTTCTAATATTTTAATTTTTTTAAAAAATCATTTTTTTTTGAAAATTTGAATAAAATTACACTTTCTTTTCTTAAAAATTTCAATATTTTGAATTCTTTTAGAAATTTTATACATATTTTGAAATATTAAATTTAATTTGCTTTCAGTATTTAAAAATCATGTTTTAATTTTTTATTTTTTAAAATTTTAACATTATTTATTTAATAAAAATATTTAATTTCTTGTTCTTGAATGTTTTGAATTTTTATAAAATTTTGAATATTTTTAATTTTTAATTTTTTTGAAATTTTAAAAAGAATTTTTTATTTTCTATTTTTCTTTATTTTTCTTGCTAACATGGAAATTGATAATGTCAATTGAATAAAAACTTTCTTGCTTATTTTTAAGTGAGTCAATGGGAAAAAAGAATCAATCCAAGAGATCAAGCAAAGACATTGACAGAGTGACCAAAGAATTTGAGAAACTTGGACTTTCATTCATCAAATCAAATTTAGGCTTCTTCTAACTGAGATCTTTCCTCGTATACCAATTCAAGTGAATAATAAATAGGAATTAGAAGCTCTTCGTGCTTTGCCATTGCTCTCTTTTACACCAAATTTTTATATTCTCCCACCTTAAATATACTAAAACAAACTAAATTTGTAAAGATCGTGTCTTCTCTATAATTTATTTTTTTATTTAAATAAAAATAACTTTTTTTAGATTTGGATTATCAAATATAAAAGACAAATAGATAGTGTTTTAGATAAACTCGAAGACCTTGATAACATAATTTTTTATGAGTAACTAGTTCTTTTTTTTTAATATTTATAAGCTTTTTAATTGAACATATATTAAAAATAAACTTTTTAAATGTTTATAAATGTCAACAAAATTAACAGTCACATCAGCAAAGTTAACAGGGAATGATTAATCTCATTAGTAATTAGACCAATATTATTAAATTTAACTTGTATGAGGATGAAATTTTTATGAATTATACTAGAGGGACCAAATTTTAAGTTTCATGTGAGTATTTAGACCATGACAATTGATTTTATCCATCTAAGTTACCATATCAACAAAGTCAACGCTATGTTAACAAAGTTAATAATCAAACTAGTATTTTTAAATGCAAAAATTGGACGAAATTTGTTATTGAGCTAAGATTATTAAATCAAAATAGTATGATAACTACATTTATATGAATTACAGTAAAATGATTAAATTTCAATTTCGATAGAGTAAAGAGACTGTTAGCAGAATTTGACTAATGAAATTGATTGTTTTGAGTGATGAATGATTTGTTTCAACTTGCACAGGTTGAAAGATTAAGGGGATGTGATGATAGATATAAGAAAATTTATGAAAAAGATGGGATTTGCATAGAGTACTCTAAAAACTATTTGAGGATTTTAGAGAACTGGTTGTGTTCTTTAATTACTTTAAAAATAGTAAAAAGTGTGGATATGTGGCACCAATAATTATTTTGATGATATGGTATTTGGTGCGTTTGTATTGTTCTTTTATATTGTTTGGAAGGGATTAGGTACATTACATGGCGTTTTTAGGGTTTATAGAATGAAACTGATTGTTTCAAGTGATGAATGAATTGCTTCAACTTGTACAGGTTGAAAGGTTAAAGGGTTTGTTGATAGATATAAAAAAAAAATAGATATATCACGTAAAACCATCTTGTAGTTTGATATAAATTTAAAATGATTCTTCATGTTTAAAATGTGACACTTAACTACATTATGATTTGTTTTATTATTTTTTACCTAAAATTATAACATTTTTTGTTTTTT